GGCAGGGTTTGGGTTTGGGGTGGTTTTGGGGTGGTTTTGGTGGAAATCCCTCCCAGCCTGTGCCGGGAGCTGCAGCGGCACAACCGCACCCTCAAGGTGCTCCCTGTCATTTGGGAAGTTTTCCTGAGGGATATAAGGAATGGGAGGCTGAATGCATTGGGAACATTTAGGGAAGTTTTCCTCATGGATGTAAGAACATCATTTTGGGAAGTTTTTCTTATGGAAATAAGGAGTAATGGGAAGCTGAATGGGTTAAGAACATTTAGGGAAGTTTTCCTCATGGATGTAAGAACATCATTTTGGGAAGTTTTTCTTATAGCTATAAGGAGGCTGAATGGGTTGGGAATATAATTTTGGGAAGCTTTCTTATGGAAATAAGGAATAATGGGAGACTGAATGGATTAGGAACATTTAGGGAAGTTTTCCTCATGGATGTTTAAGAACATCATTTTGGGAAGTTTTTCTTATGGAAATAAGGAATAATGGGAGGCTAAATTCATTTGGAACATCATTTGGTGAAGTTTTCCTGAGGGATATAAGGAATGGGAGGCTGAATGCATTGGGAACATTTAGGGAAGTTTTCCTCATGGATGTATGAACATCATTTTGGGAAGTTTTTCTTATAGATATAAGGAGGCTGAATGGGTTGGGAATATAATTTTGGGAAGCTTTCTTATGGAAATAAGGAATAATGGGAGACTGAATGGGTTAGGAACATTTAGGGAAGTTTTTCTGATGGATGTAAGAACATAATTGTGGGAAGTTTTCCTGGTGGCTATAAGGAATCATGGGAAGCTGAATTAGTTGGGAACATCATTTTGGGAAGATTTCCTGATGGATGTATGAACATCATTTTGGGAAATTTTTCTTATAGGTATAAGAAATAATGGGAGGCTGGATGGGGTGGGAACATAACTTTGGGAAGTTTTTCTTTTGGAAATAAGGAAAAATGGGAGGCTGAATGGGTTAGGAACATTTAGGGAAGTTTTCCTCATGGATGTATGAACATCATTTGGGGAAGTTTCTCTTATAGATATAAGGAGGCTGAATGGGTTGGGAATATAATTTTGGGAAGCTTTCTTATGGAAATAAGGAATCATGGGAAGCTGAATTAGTTGGGAACATCATTTTGGGGAGTTTTCCTGATAGATACAAGGACATCATTTTGGGAAGTTTTCACAGTGGATATAAAGACATAATTTTGGGATGGATATAAGGAATAATGGGAGTCTGGATAGGTTCAAAACACGATTTTGGGAAGCTCCTCCCTTACCTGTGCCACCCGTGCCACAGGAGGAGGGCGTGCAGCGTGCCAGGGAGGAGGAGGAGAAGAGGAAGGAGGTGACCTCTCACTTCCAGGTGACCCTGAA